TGTCGGAGTACGCTGACACGCCCATGTTGATCGCCTCATACAACGGCCATGAGGACTGCGTAGCCGCCCTGCTGGCCGCGGGAGCCAAGCCGAACGTGGCTGACAGGATCCACAGGAGCACGGCGCTGTTCTGGGCGTCGCAGGTATCACCGGCCTGGCAGCTTCAGTGACGCCTTGGCGGCGAGAGTACATCAGCGGAAAATGGGCTCTTGTGTCTATAACTCTCGTATTTGAGTTGTCAAGTAGATGAAAGCTAGTAGTCAGCAGTGCAAGTCACGTTATGCACATCGGTCCCTCAACGGTCTCGTCAAATTCAATTCGCCGCGTGACTACTCGAATACTGTAAAATATTAAACCCTTCCGCATAGTAACGTAACACTTGGCTTTGTTGCGAGGAAAAGAATACAAACAGTAGCGCAAAATGTGGCCTTTCTGTACTGAGCAACGTAAAAAGAATAAAAATAATGCTCTGAAAAAAAATGCGGAGAGAAAACCATAACGGTTAAATTTTCTGATGCGGAACGGTTTAATAGTTTACAGTACCTTCGCTAAGCGTGGACGGATCTGTCTTTGAGCCGTTGTGCTTGTTGAAAGACAGTGCTGTTTCGCGCGATGTGCTGATGTGCAAGGCGCCCAGCGCCTGGAACAACTCTGGGCCCCTGCGCGTCGAGCGCGACGACACAAACGTCCGACACGCTTCATTTCCAGATATGAAGGTCATGCAGGTCAATGATTGTTTGGGGATTCTTAGGACTTTTATGTTTCCTGTTCTTGCTTTTTCACCTTTTTTTCCTTTGCCTTTTTCTTAACTTCTTTATGTTGCACAATTTTTAGCTTTTTTCCCTCGGGATTTTTGTTTCAGGACTTTAGTCTATCGTACCGTTCATGAAAACTTGATGTACAGGATTTCTGGACATGTATCCGATATGTATCGGTAGCCGGCTGGTTTGACTTCCCCTTTCGCTGCGGCGCAGGAGGGCCGCCTGGGCGTGGTGCGCCTGCTGCTGGCCGCGGGCGCCAACGTCCACCGCCCCAATGCCAACGCCCAAACGCCCTTGCAGGTCGCCTCCGAGGGGGGGCACGCCGACGTCGTGGACGCGCTCTTGGCCGCCGGGGCCAATCCCAAATACAAAGACAGATTGGGAGACACTGCCCTCCACTCCGCCTCCGTGACATTGGGGCCCGCCAGCGTGCGGATCGTCGTCTTGCTAATCGATAAAGGGGCTGAGATTGATGCGAGGTCGGACGATGGAACGACGCCGCTGATGTGGGCCGCGGCGTTTGGAAACGTGTTGACGGTGAAGACGCTGCTCACGCACGGGGCGGATCCGGGGATTGTGGATGGGGATGGGAGGGACGCCACGGGCAGCGTGTGCCGGTGCCTGGCGTCGCGGGGGCGGCCGCTGCTGCTGCAGTGCCCGGCGGGGGGCTGCGGGGAGGAGGGCACGGCGGAGGAGCTGAGGGACGTGCTGCGCCGCTGACGACGAGTTTCTGTCCAACTTCGAGTTGTTGCAGCGTGGGAAAAGGTGAGGGAAGAACATGACGTGCAAATTTGTGCGGGCACATCCTCTGTGCGGGCAGTTTGTGGGTGCCCTGTGAAGGGCACCCCCTCCAGGGCAAGTGTGGGTGGGACTTTTTCCGTGCGGCAAAAGGTGACGTGCCGCCTCCAATTGCGGCATCGGGGGGCTTCCCGCCGGACGTCGGAAAATATTGGCTGGAATGTGCGGCTGGGGCGAGGAAGCTCGGTCCTTGAGGGCCCCGGGGATTTTGAGGGTCTTGACCTTAAGGACCTTGAGGATCTTGTCCTTGAGCATGTCTGTCCGAGGATCTGAGCCGTGAGTGTGGGAAGGGTGACGAAATGCTCCTCGGTGGGATATGGGCGACGCGGTGCTGGGGTGTTTGGCTCCAGGTGTCAGTCCAAATTTTGACGGGGGTTGTTTGAGATGAGCAGGGGCACTGACGTCCACATGGTGTGACTGATGAAATCGTGTTGCGGCGATTCGGAGCATTTCTTTTGGCACATGTGGTCAAAACGCGCAAGGATGCTGGGACTGAATATGTGAGGTTTGACAAGCTGTGAGAACGTGTTTTTTTGGACGGACACTTTTTGGCGGTTCGTGATTGATACGGGCAAGAGCGCTGGAGCACAGGAGGTCACGTCAACGGGAAGGGGAAGCTGATTCGAAGCGTCGCTCGACCTCCTAATGGACAGCCAGCCGAAATTGAGGGAGCACGATTTGTGAACCTCGACGCTGGCGGTTTCGAATCCAATCAAAAAAAATCATGGGAGCTGCGCAGACTTGTTTGATAGAGGGCTGCACGGTGCAGCTCGCATGTCGATGGGAACGAGGACGGCTGTCGTATTATGTTTTGGCGCGTCGCTTGGGGATTGGCAGCCCAAAGGGCATTTCAAGCGAACTGCGGCGCTCTGGCTGCGGTTCTCCAAGATAGGAGCTCCTGCACCTGATGCACCCGACGTCGCTTCCTGGATGGGTTCAGCGGATTGCGCCAGGCGATTTGGGGGGCCACCTGGCGTGTGACTTTGGGGGCGCGTGCGTAAAGTAGTCGCGCTTGGGCACTGCGGGAACGCAGGCGTTGAATGGGTGGTCAACGAAAGAGCGCCCAATCAAAATGCATGAAGTTCTGCCGAACTCTAATGGAGTGGAGCGGATGCAAAACACTGGAAGAACTGGAAGCGATTGGGCAGTGAACTCAGTTTGATGAACCAAGTCGATGAATCTCTGAAAAGAAGAATATTTCCGAACATTTAATTGATTTTAGTCTCGGGTGTTCCGGAGCATGGCTGGAAGCCTGTGCTGCTGTGTGGAAGTATTTATGCTTATGTATGTGGAATGGAAGTGTAAGAATATCTTGTGCGCATCTCCTGGCAGATACCTACACAAAAGCGAGCAGGACGGGAAAATGAAATGCAGTAAACCTTTTCTGTAAGGTTCATATTCTTTTGTGATCCAACTATTGGGCATGTCCTGTGCGCTGCAAAAGGTTCACATGTGAACACCCTGTACGAGAGGGCAGTGCTGATCCCTGATAAGCCCGAAACGGTCTTTGGGGGCGGGACTACAGAGAAGTACGGTAGTTGAGGGAGTGCTTTTCATCCCACACCCCGGATGTGGCTTGCCGTATTCAGGATACAGGCTGTCCATGCCCTCGATATGCACATCCTCGGCTTCGCGTTGTTTCCATATGCCGGAATTGATTTCACTGATGATCCCGTCGAAGCCTGCCAACGATTTCATTCAAGGCCGTCGGTTTTCATGCGGAACGTGAGGCCAACTGGGAGGCCGCAATGGGACAATTGCAGGACGATTGCTTCCGGCCGTCGTGGCCATTCGCCAAACCTGCCGGGCTCCCCCAGCAGCCAGGATCCAAGCTGCTGTCGTTTCACACGAGTGGCGATCTGGCGTCGCTTGGAGTACGTGGCGTCCATTGTCAGCACAGGCAAAAGCGACGCAGTTACGGTACAGCCCTGCGATCTTCCCGCCCAATGGCAGGCTGAATATGTAATTATAATTACATATTCAGATAAACGTCACAAACCGTGACAAAAATGTCCACCTGATCCAACTCCAACAAACACCTATCCGTCACCAACCCACCAATACAGCTTGTCCATGCAGTTCAAGAACCCGGGTATGTCACCCGCAAGCCAAAGAGTGCCTTTTCCGGTCCCAAATGTTCATCTCGAGCGAAGTTTCAACAATGTCAAAACAATCCCAACAAAACCCAAGGAGAGGGCGGGCGGGGAGAAAACAAAGTGCAGTCTGATGGCGCGTCGCCTCCCTAGGCCTCGGCGCCGCCAAACAGTTCCCGAACGAGCCGAAACCCGGCCCCAAGGACCGTTGCCTGCCTTGGGGCCCCAGCAGCAGCATGTTCCCGCGCAAACTGGGCGCCCTGCTGACAGAACACTGTCGGGTAGCAATTTTTTCGCCCGCCCATCTTCGGGCCTCCCGTAAACTAGCTTACTGGACGTAACCATCCCTACATTGCCACCACAATACAATCCCCCCATGCTAAGATTGGGTCCCCATCTGTACGGCACATGGCGTCCGATGAAAGGACACAAATGCATCTGAAAAGTCCGCGGGGGAAGTCTTGGCGCTGCTGGCGGCGGAGCGAAGCCCTGCGCACCTCCCCAATGTACTGGATGTCGCGGCAAGACCCTGATGCGGGCGGAACCTGTGTTCCTGCGTTGAGGTGGCGCGAGCGCCTCTAGGAGCGACGACAAAGATACATGTGGGCCGCGGTTGGGTACCGCTGTCATCGCAATCAACACCCGGCAATACTCTTTATTTTCAGAATGGTACACAGACAACGCCACCAACGCGTCAGGCTCAACACCGCGGGAGGCGCTCAGGAGCGCGTCGTAGACTTTTGGAAGCCGACCTCCCGCTCCATCCCCCGCCGCCCGTCCACGCCCGGCGGAGGAGCCAAGCCCGCCGAGAGGCGCCGAGCTGCCCCTGGGACAGCCGCCACAGACCTCCGCGGACCAAACAGCGGGCCAAAACGCGGCCGTCACGAAAAGGTGAGCGCATCACGTGGGCAGCGGGAGAAATCGGACATCTTGGGCGCCGATCGCTCATTCGCTGCAGCCGCCACGCCAATGATCGGGGCGCCCTCGCGCTGCCCTCTCCGCTCAGCGTCGGAGCTCCTTAGAGTGTTCCCTGCGTCGAGCCCAGCTGAAGAGCCATCGTCGGCCCTCTCAGTCCTCGGACAAGCGAAAGCTTGTGCTCGGAATCGGGTCAAGCCTCTCCAAACAAAGCTCCCCACATCCATGCGATCCTCGAAGCACTCGCTACCAGCCGGATATCCCTTTTCCCCAACGCCTTGAGACGCCGCGCGCTGCCCCGGCATATGCGGCGGTGTCGATGCTTGCCGCGCACAACTCAAAGCCGATCGGTCTGACGCTTTGTGGACGGCCTCCAGGTATTTAGGCCGCCTCTGCAGTCAGAGCGCTCCTCGAGAACCGCACAAGAGCCGCCATGCGCGCGTTGGCGCGGGCCTTGCCCGGGCCGGCAGTGGCGCCGCTGGTGGCCGCCGTGTTGTACTGCGCCCTGCGGTGCAGTGCGGGGGAGGGGTGAGTGGGTCAGTAACAGAAGAACCGGCCACGGCGTGCATGTACAGAGTACTGCCCGCACGCGGCGCATGTGGCGCATGGGCAGACGCGGTGGGCGTGGATGAGCGGCTGAATGTGCGGAGCGCAGTGACGTGAAGACAACGACGGCGGCGTGACGTGGCTCTGCTGACCTCAAAACATCAGAAGACTATAACTTTCGCCCTTTTTGACCTATTGCGTTGTGTCATTGCCTTGGTGACCTTGCAGCTTCAACTGCTGCATGTCCCAGGATCGTCGCGATGAAGGAGCATTCGGTCGTTCTTGCTGCGTGTTAAGCCATCGTCCAGACGCCTGCGTGCGACACACTTGCCGCGTCGCCAGTGCGACACGACACGCATTGCATGCCTAGGATCGCTGCACACTTCCCCCAAGTTTCCTACATTGTCTTTCTCCGTTGGTCATTTCGTTTCGGTTGCATTGGGGGGCCACAGGGCATCCATGATATACCCAAATGCGAGGGCTCGGCAAAATCTGGTGCATTGCTGAATGCCCTCTGTATCGGCAATCGCCTCCTCCCTTTTGCAGAGGTGTATCACCTGACTTTGGGGAAGGATTCGTGACAGAATGGGTGGCGCCACTCATGAAGTCATGTTGTCGCTCAGGAACGTGGGTCTGCCAGATGGCACCCACCATGCGACGACAGGGGGCGTAGAATCCACGCATCATGCCTTCAGCCGAATGCAAACAGTGGTCAAGACGAATAGGCAAGGTGAGTGAAATCACACAGACCATTCCTGTCGAGCGAAAACTGCCAGCAAGAAAGGGATTCACACTGCACAATGTTTAGTTTTTCGTTGTGTTTGGCTCCCAGTTCACCCCCTATTTCCGCAATTTTCGGGTAACAAAGTGCCGTGTGAAATTGGGCAAAGTGGATTAACGTGTCGCAACATTCGAAGTGGCCATGGCAGTCCAATATATTGTAATATCATACTTCATGTGTGAATTTGCACATGAGAAATACTGCATTTGCACACTTGTAAAACCAGTGGAGGAAGCAGCAGCAAGGGCAAGGAAGGAGAGCGCAACTAATGCACTCCTCATGTGAAAGGTTGTCGCTGGGTGTGGGAATGAGCGTACCATAGCATAGCATATTCTTCTGTATCGCATTGCAATGTTTGGCCTTTCCATGCTGAGGAATAGCAAAACGCAGCAGTGCCAAGAAATACGGAGCAAACCCAGCTGCAACCCAAGGGTCACTGGGCTGCCTTTAAAGGCACCAAAGGCGCCAAATTAATAGTAATATGAAAGGCGCTAAATTTGGCGGCTAGCGGCCATGGATACATGAGTTTCTGTGGCGGAAACCTGCAGTTGAATGAGGCATGTGAAATGGGCGGAATCGGTGTTTTGGCTGTGACCATGATGCAGGGGCCACAAACAATGGTCTGTCGACAAAGATGCGGAGCGAAAATCGTGATGCTGAAATTTGAAAATGCGGAAGGGTCTAATATACCACGGTGTGCCTTGGTCAATGCTGGTGTCATGTTCACCAGAAAAAAGTGCCTTTCTGCGCGCAGACAAATAGCAGACCTTCACATGAGCATGCCGCACTCCAACGGCTATCGTAAAGTTTCTTCCAAGAATCTCTAACCCAGCTTCACACCATTTTCCCAAACCTGGAAAAGCGGTGTGTCGTGTGAGAAACCACCTGCTTCAGCTCTTGGCGCAGGTCCTCTGCTCGCGGGGTTGCCCTATGCAGCTGCGCCTCGATCTCTCCAGGACCCATGACGGGGAGAACGTTATGCTGAAATTGTTGTGGCACCATGCGTCAATGAGGCATTGGCTTGCAAACCTTGTGTGTGCATTTGTCAAAAACAGACAAACTGGCGTCATTGAGTTTTTAAGGCAATGGTGGGCAGGGGTGAGGCTTCGAGATGAGCACTTGCCACTAGCAAATAAAGGACCAAATACCACTTTTTGCAAACACATATGAAATGCATTTCACCAATGTTCTGCATGCAAAAAACACGAAAGTAACCCAAGCCATAAGCTTTGTACACATTTGAACACGTTTTAGTTGGCCTTTTTCTTCCTAGGGTGCAGTAGTCCTTCTGCTTCATTCCATAACATCAAAATGTGCAGCAGTTTTTGATTTGTCGGATATCTGAAAAGGGTATGGTTGACACGAAGAACCGTGGGGCTCAAAACTTCTCGTCGACCACTTATTGCAAGGTGTCGAAACCACCTGCATTTGTGTCACAGAACTGGCATGGAACATGCTGCCAGAACACAGGGAGAATGGATAAGGGGCGAAGGCGCACTCACATCATGCCCGTTACGACTTATTGTCCTGCCCATTGTGTTGTACCCCAAGGTGGCCCTAGCATATGCACTGAGCACATGCGTTTCCACCTACTGGGTGTCTCATTAGCAGTCGGTGGTGCCACAGGGGTAGTCAATGCTCGTCGGCTTCTCCAAGACGAAAACACAGACCCCCTCCACCAGCACATTGACAACACAACAGCGCATGCACATCATGCAAAAGCCAATGAGGTAAGGTTCTGGCATCAATGCACACTGGTGGAAGTGCTCTGGTGTGCATGGTTGCTTAAGTGCCAGTCTCTAATCCGACACCAACATGTACCATAGCGTGGATGGAGAAGAGTGTCAGTCAACTGCCCCATCGCTTTCTGTAGCGTACCAGCTGTTTGGGTTCACCTTGGAAAGGACGACCTCTTGTTGACAGGACATGCAACAGGCAAACTGGAGGGAAGTCATGGACGTATCTGTGTCCCGTGCCTGAGCCCCTCCTGTGACTTGCTGGCCATGCTGGACATTCGGGTGTTGTAAGCCTCCCATGCTTGCCACAGCTGGCAGAAGGAGAGCATGGGCTGTGGGATTCTTTTGCGGATTGTCAACTCAACGCCTACAGTGTGTTCATGCATATGGCCTGTGCAGACTTCCCATCAATCGCTCGTTTTGGGCAACCAGTCCTTATTTCTCAACACATATGCACATATACTCTCCCCCCCCCCCATACAGAGGAATTGGGCTGCTGCAACGAGAGTTCCCGGCAAACGCAACCGCATGTCCGCCCTTGCAGCACAGAAGACTTGTTTTCACCCCTCCTCAATCTGGCCATGCTTGGCTGGAACAGAATTATTGGTCAGTTGTTTACCATTTTGGTTCATATTGTGGCTTCCTGCTCGGCCTGAGAACATGACACATGTGGTGGAAAGCAGAATTGCATGCAACAGGGACTATACATGGTACGGTCGCATGGCTCTGGCATTGCTCCAAACGGATTGAAAGCGATGCCACCCACCACCCACGTACAGCCTCAGACACATTCTGTTGCTAAGAAACTCGCCTTGGATGCATTGCCTGACTGTGAACCTAACAGGAGACTCAGTAGCACAAGGAGGCAGGCATCGTCTGGTGTTTGATCTTTTATGCAGACAAATGAGCAATGACAGCAACACAACTCAAAAACCAAACACTCCCACCCTGCCTTTTGACACGAATAGACAGGCTGTGCAGAAACTCGCAGGTAGAAATCTCCTACATTGTGAACACGTATATGCAGAGCCTCAGCATTTTTGCTCACAAGGCGGGTACTCATGCCACACATGTCTCTTTCTTGTTGCCCTGAACACTCCACCTCCCATTCCCCGATGAACGCACCACTCAGCGGCCCAATTCCCCTCAGGCGCTGGCCTCCTGTTCCCCCCTGATCTGAACGCCGTTCTCCCTGCGATGCAGAGCCTGTGGTTCGCCGCCTACAACGGCGACCTCGACGGCGTCCTGGACGCCCTGCAACGCGGCGGCAGCGTGCACACCCGCAGGTGAGTGAGGGACCTCCAGCAGCACCGGCCGGATCCCCTGACCCCTCCTGGTCGCATTGCCCTGAGGAAGGCAGGCAGGGTCGAGGGGTGGTATTCCCTGAACGGGAATTGGAAGCTCGAGTCAACGGCAACGGTTTTCAGCCGAGGCAAAAGGACAACAGACGTTCTGTCCTTTATACCCAGTCCGTTCATCAACATCCTTAATGTAATTCCTAGTGCTTCGTCATCTTTTCATACATTCAGTTATTTATAACACTCAATCAGTTCTAGCCGTAACAGCCCAACGTCGCCAGATCGACGAAATGGCTTTGAAGCAATTTCTTCGCCACGTCTTCTGCACATCAAAGAAATTTCTTTGGTCTTTTGTTTTTTCACCCCTCCCTTCCTTTTCTCTCTCTTTTGCCGCGTCTTTCTGGTTTTAAAGCAATTTCCCTTCTCACGTCTTCAGCACGGAAAGGGATTTTCTTTCATCTTCTTTTCGTCTTTTTGTCTTTTTGCCTTTTTGTCTTTTTGTCTTTTTGCCTTTTTGTCTTTTTGCCTTTTTGTCTTTTTGCCTTTTTGTCTTTTTGCCTTTTTGTCTTTTTGCCTTTTTGTCTTTTTGCCTTTTTGTCTTTTTGTCTCATCTTTTCTTTTTGTTTTTTCCTTTCCGTCGCGTGAATGGTCGGACTGGCGTGCACACGCGCAGGGGCGCTTTCGGTGACACGCCCCTCCTCGCGGCCTCGTCGCGCGGCAACGTGGCGTGCGTCCAGGCCCTGCTGGAGGCGGGATCCGACGCCAGCGCTGTGGATGGCCTCCACCAATCTCCGCCGATCTACTGGGCGGCCAAGGACGGCCACCTGGCCACCGTCAAGGTGCTCATCCTGGCCGGCGCCCCGGTCGATCAACCGAACGATCGGCGGGCGACCGCGCTGCAGGGCGCTTGCGAAGGCGCGTGGGAGCACGTGGTTGATGTCCTGCTCGCCGCGGGCGCCAACGCCTCCCACTCTGACATCCACGGATACACCCCACTGCACTTCTCAACCGTGACCATCGGCCCAAAATCTGCAAGCATAATCGACATGCTGCTAAGTTCCGGGGCTCAAGTTGATGCCGTGGCTGAAGATGGCGCCACGCCGCTGATGTGGTCGGCGACGTTTGGAAACGTGGGGGCGGCACGGGCGCTCGTGGGGGCGTAGGCGGACTTGGGGGCGGTGGACGTGCTGGGCCTGGGCGCGGCGGACAGGGTGTGCTCGTGCCTGGATGCGGCGGGCGACGACCGCCTGCTGCAGTGCCCCAGCGGCGGCTGCGAGGTAGGCTCGACCGCTGAGGATCTCAGAGCGGAACTTCTGGGCGAGTGAGGGCTGGGCCAGGGGGGTGGATATTTGTAACGAATAGGTCATGCAAAGGGCACCATTTCCTGAACAAATGTATGCGAGACTCTTTTCCATGCTGTGCAAAGATGATGCAGAGTCTCGTGCGTGAAATGATGAGCAGGCGGGAAAACACGCACTCAGGGGGCTGCGAGAGGGGGTCCGTGACTTGTGTGCGCTTTTCTGGGTCGCTTTAGGTTGCAGAAATCGTGTTTGGGTTATGGGCGGCGCGAAAATGCGGGTGGGGTGGGGCTTAGTACCTGTTCGAAGCAAGCTGACATTCTTTTGAGGATGACGTTCGAGTGGGGAGCGTTTGCAGCCACGCTGCTGACTGGGGCGTGGGTAGATGTGAGGATGGCTGGCCGCCGAGCCGAACAGCGCGCTGGGTCAGTTTCAGCCCATTTGGCTGCGTTGAGGCTTTCGGATGGTGTGCGCCTCTCTGGGAACCTGAGGCTCAGGAGGCGGGGTGATGGTCAGTCGGCGGTGTAAGACGGGTGGAGGGGAATTCTAGCTGGGTGATGCAATTTCAACAAACATGTGTCCGCCTGCATGGCGTGGGCACGAAAGGCATGAGTGGCAAATAAAGCCATGTTCATCCGGGACCTATTCTGCAGGTGCCTTTAGGGCAGGCACAATGTTATATTGTTGCGGCCGCATAGGCCGGCCCTTGCAGGAGCCTCGATGCAAGTTGCCACGATTGGATGAGCGATGTGATGATTCTCTTTGTCCTCTCCAAATTGTTTGTCCCAATTGGCTGGTCCGTTGTTTCGAAACTTGGTCATATGAATATCATGTGGCTCTTCGTTTTCTGGGAACAAATGCTCCATGATATGGCCTCCATTGCGCACGCTAGGGGCTGCATTACATCAGCATTTCTGTGTTATTTTCTCACGTATTGTTTCAAATTCACGGTAAAGTGGCGGAGCGGGGCGGGGCGAGGGTTGAGAGGGGGAGAAAGATTGTCACGCTTCAAGAAAAGCCCATACAAGGGGCATCCCTCCCAAGGGAAGGCACCGCATGAGTTCTCTGTTTTATGTCCAACGTACGCTAAGCTCGGGAACCCTCTCCTCCCACCCGCCCACCATCTTTGCTGCCTTGCAACGTCTCCCAGGGCACAGTGGTAGTCGCAGCATGGAGTTGCCTCCTGAAGCTTGCTTCACTGGCGCCACAATTGGAGATGAGCAAGATGGTCGAATATGCGCGAAGGGCGGCAAAGTGGCGTTGGGTGGGCATCAGCATGGGCGCCTCGTTCTGCCCCAAACACACGAGCCAAGATAAGCATCCACTCCACCCCAGTCACCCGCTCACACGGCCACTCCCTATGAGCGAGTCGTCCATTTGCCATCGATCCATGCCGGCTGCTGCTTGCATTCCCCAGAGCGATCCGCGACAGCCGCCAAATTGCGGCACACGCCGTGATCCCTGCCATTGTAGGTGCGACCAATCGCGACCAGGCCCGCTTGCCTGGAGCCCATTGATCCCAACGCATGAGCACTTTTACATTGCCGCCCCCCGAGCGCCCTGCGTCGTGCGCAATGGGCGGTACCAAAACAGCTTCGAGCGGTCAAACGCTCAAGCCTCTGGCGATGAACACCTCACAAACGCCCGCCCGCCGGATGCCTCCAAATCACTATAGCCTTGGTGGTGGCCAAGTCCAACAACTCAGGTCATCGCATTGCTGCTGTTTGCCAATTGATGCACAACTTCAACGTGACTTCAAAATGAAGCACAACATTTTATACTGTGTGCTCCATGGAAACAAAAGTTTGTGCCGTTTTTGGGCGTGCTTTTCCTGATGACCCCAAGGTGGTCTGGATATCATCCTACTTTGTTTTGCTATTAATCTAACTGCATATTTTTTTGACGTCCACATCCTGGACCCTCCCTCGCTCCTTAGCCCGAATGGCAGTCTGCGACCAGCCCTGAGACCAGCATTGGGCTTGCGCTTGGTTTAGGGCCTAGAGTTTATGAGCCCTATGGCGGCTATTATTTGATGACTAATTGGTACTGATTCAACATTTCTGGTACCAGTGCGAATTCGGTACCAGATTCAGTGCTCCTTGGTATTAGCTTCAATTTATTTAGTACGTTGGCGGTTTGGTACCAGATTCAATATTATTTGGCACATAGTTAAATAGGTTTCGTTGTTCATGGCGACGCTTTGTCCCCGTGAGCTGCCAGCCCATGTGCTCCGGTTTGGCAATCTCCAGGTGTGTAGAGTTTGGAGGCAGACCATGACGATGCATGCCACAAACTGTAAACACACCACCAAATTACATCTTTTGATGCCCCACCTTACCCTTATGCGATTTGCAGCGACAATGGGAGCAGCAAGAGCTGGGGTTGTGGTGGTCAGTTTTGAAAGGCTCCCACCAAGAGTGTGTTGCACCAGGTCGACAGACTTGGGAGATGGTCTGCGTACGCGTCCCATGGGTCATAATTCCTGGGGCTCGAGGCCGTTTCTCAAGAACCAGGCCATCAGGAGACGCTCCTTGAGCAGGCATTCGGCGGAAAGGGGTGAGCTAACCAAGATCGGCTGTCTAACTCAGCTTTTCTCATTGCCCAAGTCGTGTGCCGTTACAGATGGAAGAATGCGAACTAACGTGCAGTGGACGAAGCAAAAACCAATCGTGTCATCTGGGTTTGGACTGTTCGCTCATGTACGCTGAATAGCCGGCGTCCATGGAAATATCATGGAAGGAATCGACGTGATGCGCACTCTATTTGCCAGTACTGGAAATTTCCGCACGGTGGTCCTAATATGTCCGTCCGGTTAGCCAAGGGATCCCTTGGGACTAGAGAGGGCCCTTACGGTCTTTGGATACCGTTTGAGTTCAACGAACATTTTCTGATGACGCTCGGGATCGACGATGGATTGCCGCGATGCCTTTCAAGTCGTTCATACTCTTGGCGACCAATGTAGCTCAATGAATTTAAATTCTTGGCTCGTTCCTTAACTGGCAGGCACCCTCGCCCCGTTCACTGCTGAGACATCAAGTGCGCGCCGTGTGCTGGAGGACGAAGGGCCACGCGAAGCCACCGAGGTGAGTCACCAAGAATCCCTATGTATTGGGTGATTTGTTCTTCTGCTTCTATCGATCGAAACTACTGATCGTGAGAAAACAAGTCCGAATTTCTTCATGTCTCTTTGGAAGGCCTCATCGTGAGAGAATTTTTAACCCTCCTGCCCAAGACGCCATGGAACACGCCCCACACAGGGAGAATTCAAATTCAAAACTGCCCTGCTTCCAAGAGGTTTCTCTGGTTTGTTTCCAGCTACAGCTATCTTTCTAGACGAGCCACGAAGTGATCGAGAGAGTCTTCGTTTTCTCTGAGACATTTGGCGTCGAAGAGCTGGAGTTGAGGTTGTCAGCCGCCCCACAACGCACGCACTATCCTGGGCATACGTGGATCAAGTTTGTTTCTGAGCTAGGCTTTCTCATGGGTGAAATAAAGAGTTTGGTCCCATGCCGTGTATCTCACGGCACGTAGCCCCAAACTGAGCGCCGCGCCCAGGACCTGATTCGACCAACAATAATCATCTCTACCTTGATCATCTCTCTACCTCCATGGGTTTATCTAAAGTGGCATCGAGTCGATTCTTCGTCTACCAGGAGGGAAGTAGGTCATCCCGTGGAAGACGGCATTAATTCGCGTGAAGTTTTGCGCACAAAAGTAAAGCTCAGGGGCGAGTGTGAGGTCCTAAATTTAAACTTACCGGCACCAAGTTGTTAATTGGTGTCAGACTATCAGGTGGTTTGCTTGCATGTGCTCATCGACTGGCATATCGGTGCCTATTTGTCCGCAAGTTTCTTTTCCGCACCACGCACTTACCAAAGCAGCACATCACGCAAAACTGCGAACGCGCGACAACGTGCGCGCAACGGCATGAGCAACAAAGAAGCATGTGCAAGCATATTCTCAGCAGTGTGCCACACACTCTGACGACCTGTTGCCACGATCCTTCCCTTGGACCACTGCTACAGTGGGGCGACGGACAGGGACTCCAGCACGGGTTCCCACTCACCTTTTCCGTTTGGTCCTCAGGCCCTGTGGCGGGCCGCGTCCGCCGGCAACGTCACCGCTGTCCTTGCCGCCGTTTCCTCGGGCGGCAACGTCAACGCCCGCGCAGGCGCCTACGCCGACACCCCCCTGCTCATCGCCGCCTCCCACGGCCACGCGGCCTGCGTCCAAGCCCTGCTGGACGCCGGCGCGGATCCCGATGCCCTGGACGGCGTCTACCAGGCGCCGGCCATCTTCTGGGCGGCCCAGGAGGGCCACCTCGATGTTCTTCTCGCCCTGATCGACGGCGGCGCAGATGTGGACACCGTGGATGCCTTGGAAATATCCGCCCTCGAGGTCGCCGCCGAGGCTGAGAACGGGGCGAATGCCCGGTATGCGGACAACATGGGAGACACGGCGCTGCACTTTGCTACTGTCACGGTCGGAGCTCAGAGCGTGAGGATCGCCCGCGAGCTGATCGCGGAAGGGGCGAACGTGGACGCGGCGTCCAGCGACGGGACCACGCCGCTGATGTGGGCGGCGGAGTTCGGCAACGTGAGGGTGTGGAGGCTGCTGGTGGGCCAAGGGGCTGATCTTGAGGCAATGGATGGGTGGGGGATGACGGCGAGGGAGAAGGTGTGCCAGTGCCTGGAGTCGGCGGGGCGGGAGCACCTGCTACAGTGCCCGGAGGTGGGGTGCAGGGACGGGAACGTGGAGGAGGTGGCGGGAATGTTGGACGCGCTGTGAAATGCTGCTTGTGCGCTGGTTGTTTATTCCCTGCGTGGATGCATCACCATGGCGTGGCGGCATCCGTCAATGTAGGGTACGAATCCAACGGGTGAGGGGCACGTCCAGGCCCGCCTGTGCTTCTCAGCGCACGCCGCTAATGGCGGTCACAGCTGCGTTCGATCCCGAGCGGTGGGGGTTGCCGGGGGGGAAGGTGGTCAGGGATTGGAATGCCCACTTCCTTGCGGCCTGGCAGAGCGGCGCCCTGGCTTGTCATGGTTTGGTAGAGGTGGGACGTCCCACTGGATGTACCAGGATCGATTCCTGGTCCTAGCATGTACATTGTGGTCCGCGATGGAACGACGGTGACGGGCATGGCGAGTTGGGTGTGGCGCGCGCTGGCGCATCGTTGATTGACGGGTTTGAAGGGATCGTCGTGTCGTTCAAGTTTTTGTTCAAGGCGGGCGTGAACGGCCGGCAAGTGGCAGCCAAGACTTTGTACATCAGCAAGGCGTTTCTCGTTTTACGGACAACAACGGACGGGGCGATTTTCATGCTCGCTGTGGCTGGCTGAGGGAACCACTCAACGGCGCTGTAGATTACTGCATAATTGCGTGATCCGGAACTGGTGGGTGCTTCGACAGGCTCCGTCGATATCGGCTACTGCGAGTTTGGACGAGACACGTAAAAGCTTTTTTGAGTAAACACATGGTGTGCGGAAATGGATTGGGGGTACGTAAGGTCCATGATGGGTTTGTGTTTGCCGGGTGGCTAGGCCTTGTGAGTCCCAGAGGTTCAATTGGCGGAGGCCCGATGGCATAGCTGAAATAAGCATTCGTTAAACACTAGGAAAAAAAGGGCCAAATAACGTGTGTTCAAACGTGTACAAAGTTTTCGGGTTTGTGTTATTTTTGTGTTCTTAGCGTGTAAAACTATGATGAAATGTGTGCTATGTGTGTTCGCAAAAGTGTTATTTGGCCCTTTTTTTCCTAGTGAAATGGAAGAAACCTTCCTGTTGGCGGTGGTCCGCTGTCGCTTTGGAGGTCATGCTGGCTGCGACATAATTCAATGAACTGTTTTAAGGAGTCGTTAGACTTGAATGTGTGCCAGAAATCGCGGAGCATGTGGTAGCGTATCGGTGAATCCTTGTTTTGCAAGGCGCGGCCACGAATCTTGCTGCGCCAATGTGTCAGTGATGCTTGTCACCAGCGGGTGGGTACCCTTTGTCGATAAAGTGCCCATCGCCGCTTCCACGCCTGGCAAAATGAGCGCGGAAGCCCGGCGGCTGCCCACAGCGTCAGGTGCAGGCGTTGAGCACCCACGCTTTGGAACGGGGCAAGATGGTCCGCATCTTTGGGGGTGGCGGGTGGGTTGGGGTCAATCTCTAGGGCTGAGTCGCGGCGAAATGCCACGTCATCGTGCCATCTTATGGGCGATTCTCCTCCCTTTGCCGGTGATCTGATCCCGAGAAACGCTCGAACAAAGCGACATACCTTGTAGGTGCTAACGGACAATCATTGCACATTCTTCTGTCGGTTGTGCTGTTTTAAGGTACCGGATACTGCCTGCACAGGAGACTATCGACATTGCCGAAGTACTGGGGTGTGCAAACTCTGTCTCACTCCAGGAAATCGAGGTGAGCAGCCCTCGCAGGGGCAGCCCTGATGTCCATTTCACTCTAGCAGTGTGGTGTATCACACACCACATGTCATCATATAGTTATGAAAGCCCAACACATTTTCAACTCTGGTTTTCAAAACCTTTGCATAGTACTGTGCAAAGAGACACTTGGCCAACATAGTCAAAAATTGCCATCTAACCACACTTCCATGTTCAAGCAGTCCAAGGGGCCAATTGTGAAGCATGGGACCCGTTTGTTAACTGACTGGAGATTGATAACACTTTAGTATTTAGTCACCCCATTTAGCCTCGACTGGTTGTTATGAAGCGCTGCTGCTTCCAGCACTGCACATGACGGCACACATATGTGGAGAAGACCGCAAGTCTCCAATCTGATCGAATCACAGGATGCTAGAACTCTCTTGTTGCAAATTCAGGTGACAGCTGGCCATATTCTCGCTCAACTATGACACTGTGCGTTTGTCGCCCATTAGCGTTGCATTACTCAGACTGTATCTCTGCGTCGAAACAATGAAATCAACGGTATAAGGCACCTGATAATATAACGTTACACATTGAACCAACGGCCCATTTGCCCAATTTCTGAAGCCACATTTCAAACGCGCTCCAACCTCCCCACGCAAAAAGTGGCGAGACTGAGTGGTGCTCAGGGCGCATTGCCAGTGACAGTTCTCAAGGTTGTTATCAACCAGTACAGAAGTTGGGCCTTTGGCCCAATGTTCTGCACGTTTTGTCGTCGCCACTTTATCGATCGGAACTGCAACAACGGTTTCTTATTTCCCAAATAGAAAAGGCAAGCTCGTTCGGAAGGCTGGCACGTGAATTTCTCTCCCCGAACACCCGCGTGCACAGTCTGTGGCACAATGATGGAGACCACCCCCACAGACTGTCGCCCGCCATCACCGCCTTTTCAGCGACGCGATTCCTCACCAGAGTGCACTGCACGATTGTTGCTCCCCAACACCCCCACCCCCGCCCCCTCCCCACCAAAGTGTCTCCCATCGACGGGGGGCCCCGCTGCACCATTCCCAGGATTCCCTCTTGCCGCACAAGTGAAAGAGCCGCCCTGCCTCCAGGTCACCCTTGAGCACCTTGGCCCTGGGCGTCTGCGCGTGCGATGTGGCAATGCATTCCACGCAGCGATCGCCACGCCGAATGCTGCGGCTAAGCTCCGTCACCGGCCTCTCGAATCGCTGAGCGACACAGCCACACGCGGAAGGCAACTTCGAGTTTTGATTTGCCCTTGTGGATGGTCGGGACGTGCGCCATCGGGGCGCTGCATCGCATGCGCTCACGGGATCGGACGGAAAGAACACGCGATGAGCACGGTCGGGCGCTGGGAGCCGTGGGCACGGCTTCAAAAAGCCGCGCCTCTCCCCCCCGTTGCGCTCCGGAAGCGGTGCCCTGCTCGTCAATCCCCTTGTCGGACCCACACCACGCCATCTGCATCACATCCTGCAGCACCCGCGACTTTTGGAGACCGCCCCGAAGACGCGGGATCGCGCCGGGAAAGCGCGCCTCGAGCGCAAGCGGGCGCGGCGCGCCGCAGCCGCGGCACCAACAGCCGCGCGCCTCCCGTGGGCAGCCCTCGCGCGCAGCCACCGGCCCGCCCGGGGCCTCGGAGATAATATTACTGCTTGCACCAAAACGGTGACTGCTTGCACCAAGTCACGTGCACACTTTGTCCTAACCTCAGTTTTAGGGTTAGGATTAGTTCAGGGTGAGTTTTAGGTTTAGGGTTAGGGTTAGGACAGGTGTAGGTTTGGGTTTTAGGGTTTAGGTTTTAGGTTAGGTTAGTTTCGACGGAGTTGGACATGATGTGCACGTGACGTGGTGCAAGAAGTCACCGTTTTCGTGCAAGCAGTCACCGATTTGATGCAGGGAGTAATTTTATGCCGCACCCGACTCGGAGAGCCACGTCACCCAGGCAACCCCCATGCCACAGGGGCCCATTCTTACACAAGAACGCTAACTCGACATTTAAAAAATTCATTTCCGGGGCGCTCCAAGTCGCGTTGCCAGCTTACAGCATAAGATCCGTGTATTGTCCGGACACTCTGCGGCCCTCTGCGCGATAGCGCCAAAGTCAGGCATCCAGGGAAAGGGGCTTTAGGACTCCAAGGAAAGGGGGGCTTTTAATTTGCTGATCTTCCCGTTCAAACTTCGCAAGGCGGGCAATCGGCGCCGCGCTTGAAGGTGACCTTCCTTTGGTAGTACTTCGAGTGTTCCCCGGTGGCTGAAGTTATCATGAAGGTGACTTCTCCTGAGCACACCCAAAAATTCGCTCAACACTTGCTGCAGGATGTACAAAAGGCGATCCTGTTCGGTTCTGTTCGGTTGGGTTTGCAATATGTGCAGGAGGGGTTTCCATTGCCAATCAGGCATCAGGTCAAGCAGCGTTGACATTCGGCGCTCAGCCCGCCTGGAAGAATAGCCTGGGCCAAATTGCATTCATAACATCCATGGCGGCACCTCCAATGCCCCGAGGTGTTTCGAAAGTTCAACAGACTCAAAAATTCTGTGGCGTTTCCGACTTAGACGCATTGTGCTAGGTAAACAGACAGCGAGCTACGGTGATGCCACACACAAGCAATAATGACTGTGGCTTCTCAGACATCCAAAGGGTCGTTTTCGCGGCTAACCTGGTTTTCCAACTGCAGTCTCCGGGCAATCCGCCGTCCACGTCATCTTGTGCTTCGGACGCTGCTTGTTGTTTGTCTTCCTGATGCCGCCACTGTGGAGGCAGTGCAGAGCCGAAAGTTAGCGACCGTTCAGTGGGATAGCCACATGCGCCATACATGCATCGCCACATTCGCCAAAGTAAACTCCCATTGCGCCTCTTCGGTGTGCATTTGCTATTTTGTTGTACATTATTGCTTCAAGAGCAAAGAACAAATGGCCAACTAACCAAGCCTGCCAATTGAATTGTAATCCAACGACACAGGCAACATAACCTTGTTTACAAACGTACTTTGCAATATTCTTGTAGGCATCAGAAGCTTTATTTGTGTTCTTAATAATACGTGACCCTATTCACATGGCAACACATTTGCCGCGAGCGCAACTCATACAACCAACAAAATTGTCTTTGAGCTTCTCAGGCTCTTGCTGAAGCCCCGACAGCCTCCACGACCGATGGTGCTGTCTTTTGAATTCACACCAGCGGGACCGTTTCAAGGGCGAGGTGGCGCTCTTGCAGCATTTTCTCGTCGAAATCGGGCCAGAAATCACAACTGAAATTCGCAGCTCCGTACGCAAAAACACATCTGGCCACACATGCTGGATTTCCGACCATTCAACTACGTTAATGCACTGAAAGAAACTGCAGCCTTTCACATTGAGCAGCTCAATATGGGCAGATGGTTTGGTTTCCTCGGAGAAGGTGTCACTCGCCATTCAAGCCCTTCGTCGTCGCCATCCTGTTCGAAGACACCCGATGACGCAGTTACCATCGATCGCCTCCCATCGACTTCCTCGTCCTCCGTACTTCCTTCTTCCCCATCGTCCTCTCCCTCCTCGTCCTCCGTAGTTTCTTCCTCCCCATCGTCCTCTCCCTCCTCGCCCTCTGTAGTTTCCTCCCCATCGTCCTCGCCCTCCGTTGTTCCTTCCATCCCATCGTCCTCTCCTTCCTCGCCCTCTGTAGTTTCCTCCCCATCGTCCTCGCCCTCCGTTATTCCTTCCATCCCATCGTCCTCTCCTTCCTCGCCCTCTGTAGTTTCTTCCTCCCCATCATCCTCACTCTCCGTTATTCCTTCCCCCCCATCGTCTTCTCCCTCGTCCTCCGTAGTTCCTTCCTCCCCATCGTCCTCCTCTCCTTCCTCGTCCTCCGTAGTTTCTTCGGCGTCAGCGGGACCGTATGTGACCTGCGTGAGTCCCCGACGGTCAGATGTCCAATGTGCAAATGCACACGCGACATTCGCAAACAAACGAAGCAACTAATACCGTGACTCCTTTGCGTGCAATTACTTTCACGGAGCGAAAGAGACCACGTGCATCTGGTGCAGGTCTATTGTGGGGTACGCGACAGTCTTGTGCATTTGCTTTCAAGAGCACATCGCTCCACAGACATGCACCATTCAGGACTGGATTTACAATTATCGTTCACGCTCTCTGGCACACGGTCTGAAGCACCCCTTTGTGGTGGGTGTATTGTGAGCACTGTAAATTCTGATATTGGCATTGGAAGCAAGAAACGACACGTTCCTGCAAATATGCAATGATTCAAACGCACCACGAACTGATACAGTATCCCAGCAGCACCTCGTTGATCGAGAGAATTTCCAGAAGACAACAGAAATGCCTAATAAGTTAGCAATGGATGCAACACGACTCAGGTTTTGCTGTCAACAGGCAGACTCATCCAATGATGATTCGATACATTGTCATTGCACCTTGATGCATTGGAATTTTCTTCAAGAGTTGTTATAAAAATAGTCTTGTAGCTGAATCTTCCCTTCTCTGTCAACGGAAGTTCTACATTGAGAAACCACTGTCGGAAGCGAAATTAAGAACATCAAAAAGGCACCCAAGGCCAAGCAACCTGGTTATCTGAACAATTCTACGGCTTTTGCAAACTGCAATTTTCCAAAGCGGCGGAAGGCCTTTTGCATCTTTTTTTTTGGTGAATAAGCAATTGAATACATTGTTGGTTAGTGTTGCTATTCATTTCAAAATCATGTCAAAGCGCATCCGCAAGAAGACTGTGAGCAACAAAACGCCGACACTCGTCGACATTGCGTTTCGAGAACAGCTGTCCTACCTTGAGTTCATACACTACGCCAGGGCAGAACTCCGACACTGGAAGCGGCTTGCCGCCGTCTTCATTCACTTTTAGTAGCTTCAAGCTCGTCGCCCTGAAGCACCACAAAAGTTGTCCTTGCTGGAAGAAACAGGAGGATTTCTTTGGCAACATAGCACACCCCACTCAGTTATGGTCCGCATTGAAACTTGCCCAATGGCTGCAGCTGTGTGTCTTTGGATGTCTGTGCACATCCACGCAACCCCATCAAGTGTGTTCTGAAGAAGAGAACCAAGTCGTGTTGTCATAGCCATGCTCGGGAGAGGCTGTTCTGTTCCCCCAGTGCCGACCCAGGTCAGATGCCTGGATCCACAGCGTAAGGCCCTCAACAGCCAAGAAACCTGACGCTCCGAAATACCACGATTCTTGATTGTGAAGAGGTTTGCACGCGGCGATGCGCCTAAGTGTGCTCCCCGACAAACACACATTTTTGCGGCAGACCAGCGCCCATAACTGCGAAAACTGGCTGCAGCGCACAACAGCGAGGTCGCAAACCAATCCTAACCAGAGTGCTGTCAGTCGCGCTTTTTGTACTGACTCTTCATAGCATGCATTGACAAAATAGAAAGATACGGAACTTCAAAAGCGATGTGGCTAAGTCCAGACTGCTTCGGACTTCTGTGTCAATGGCGTTAATGCTGTTATGACTCCAGTCATTGCCAAAGCAGCAAGGGGGGGTGGGGGTGGGTGGGGTAGGGGGAAAGGGGGATCAAGAAGCACAAGAAAGAAACCGCATAAGCACAAGAGTTGCAAGAAACTAGTAGCACAGTAGAGTCTTTTCGCCAACTTGGCAGCTTAAATAGACAGATTTCATTATTGCGAATCGTGATTTTTTTCAGAGACGGTACCTGGATAGAATATAAATCAATAAATCAGTGCATGAGAAAGAAAATGGAGCTGGGCAGCCACCAGCCACCTGCAGCCTCTCCAGACGGAGGATGCGATGAGACACCTACAGGACTGTCCCATAAGAAAACCGAAGAGTAACTTCGAAGAAATATGCGAAATGCACTGAGTCGGAAAGCGTGTAAGGGAACCGAGGGGCGCCAAATTGTCCGGATAATGAGTAGAATGCCAGCAGAGCTCGTTAAACAACCATTTGTTAAGAACGCCAGCGTCCCAGGGATTGTTGGCGGGACACCAAGAACGAACCGGAACTCCGTGTCGATGCAAGGAGGGGCAGCGCACAGTAGGCACAGTACATTGCTGGACAAATCAATGGCGCCAGAAACTACTGCCGTCGAATGCTGGCCCCATGATCGCCTTGGCGAAAGGTCCATGGTGGCGCGCCCCGCGGGCACGGACAACAGGCCCGGGGCAGCCGCGTCACCTCGAACGGATCCGGCAGCCGCGCGACCTTCACCTGCAGCGGACCGGAACATCCCAGAAGGGCCGCAATCGGCAGGCGCCCCATCGGCACGGGGTCGAAGCAAGACCACGAAAATGTCGCCGCGAGTCACGCAGCGGCCCGTCTGCCACTGCGGCTGACGGGGTCTGACCCCTTCGCGCACGGGCCAGGCGAGCGCGCCAGCCCTGCCGTGCGGAAAACTCCAAAGACCGCTCCCGATGGCCCAAACTTGTCACAGATGTACATCGGGCTCAAACCACGAGGATGGCATCCACGCGGGGCGGCGCCCACAGCCCTTCCGACCGACACCCACCGGTCCTTGACCGGCGCGAGGTGCTTGCCCAGTGCCTCAGTCGGGTGCTTGTCGCATTCCCGCCAGAACGTGGGGTAGCCGAACGCCGTGCGCCCCGTCGAGCACGCCAGGGCCACCAGGGCAAGGATGCGGATCGCCAGACCGGCCATCGACGCGCGGCTGCGTCCTCGACGCGGAGACTAGCGTCGCCGGGCGGGGGTGGCCGGACGCGCGCTCCTGTGGTGCAACACGGGCTCTGGCGGTCTGGCCGTTGGCCAATCGGTGGACCAGGCTTACGGGGGCCCATTTATGGGTCGTACTCCCCGGATCCAGCGAGATCACATGCATGAATGGATGGTAGCCATCCCGTCAATCAGCGGCGCCTCGGACGGCATGTTGACGTGCAGGTTACCCTGCGAGGCACCCCCGTGCATCCCGGTCTCCGCCCGGCCGCCCTGTGTCTGGCCAGCGTGCGCTAGCGCCTCGCTGTTCCGAGATAAAGGGTGGGCTTGTTCTCGCACGTCACATCTCAAGCCCGGAGAATCGTCGTGAGCCATGCCGCATAGGGGCCCTATCACCGTGCTCACGGCAGCCGCGGGCCCTTGCCGCGTTTCACATGTCTGTCCGGCCCTCCAGGTCCGGCGAGGACACACATTTTGACACCGCCACTCGACGTGCTTGTTATCACGAGTTCTCAGTGAATTGCATGCAGTGACTGCTTCCGCCCTCTCTTCTCACGCCACTGCCAGCTCTCAATGGTTGTTGTCCGCGGGTAGGGCCTTAGAGTCAGCGAGTGAGAGCTTCCCCCCCGTTGGGGTAGCGCTATATACAGTCCGGAGGGAGGGGGGTCGTCCATCAAATTGGCCCTGTGACGTGACGTTTCGGCCGGACACCGCCTGTGGGGTTGATCCAGGCACTGATCGCCCCGCGGCCAGAAGCACGCTGGGTTCAAAAGCAAGTGCGCCCGCCGCCTGCGCCCAAACCTACGGGCAGCCGGCAAGTCTCCACCCTCGACCAACCCAAGCGTGATGGATGCGACAGGCAGCCCATCGACAAAGACAATGTGGCGCCTACGGCGAGTACCGTCCTCACTCGCCATGGGATTGGTAGCCACAGGACATCCTGAAAGAATGCGCTGCCCCGTGGGGAACAGGGCCCCTCATACGCGTTTCCCTGAGGCATTCAAGCAAGCGAACCAGAAACAAACCACGCTTAGAAACAGGCAGGTGCCGCAGCCACCATGGTGGCGGCTGCCGTAAGAGACACGCCGCACTTGGTACGAAAATTGAAATGGCAAAGGCCAAGATGAGCTGAAATTGTGCGAAAATTTGTTGAAGAAGCTCCATGCTGTGACCGTCTCCGGCTAAAGTACACAAGGCGTTGCGTTCTGTGAAATAGCAGCTTGGTTCGATTGCTGCAACGTGCTGCCTGCTCAGCCGAGACGATCCCATAGCAAATCTGTTCCAAGATTGGAACGCTGCAAATGTTCTGGCTGGTTGGGAGCAAAATGCTGCTTGCGAGAAAGCGCACGTTTATTCGTGTGGAAGAGGGGCGCTTATTTGGGGGGGTACCAGGAGCGTCGTTCTCATGGCCATGCATTCACTTTTCTTGAGCAAGATCGTCGATCTCTTGGCCGTGCATTGGCCTTCTTGAGCAATTGGGAGGTGGCCAAGTTCGATTGGGCAAATTTTGCGTTGGGCTCCTTACAGGTTGCGCAGATTGCGAAGGCAGAGAGCCTGTGGGCGCGGTTGTTGGGGGCGTGGTTTCATACAAGAATGTGGCCGGCACAGGCATGCTGCATGGTCAACAAGGGTGCGCATGGCGAAGCCATTGTTGCCGATAGCGAAGCCCGTTTAGCCCTAGGCAGCGCTGCGGCTGCCTATGCCGTGGCTGTTGAGGGACGACGCTTGTCGTGTGCAGGCGCCTCAGATCTCTAGGCCGCCAGGTTGACCATCACTGTTGCCACGCCTGGATTGGTCGAGCGCGGAGACCTGGCGGCTGCCCCCATGACATCTCGCAGGCGCGGGGCACTCTTGCTTTTGAACGCAGCTTTTCTGGTCGGGGTCAATTGCGCAGGCGGTGTCCCGGCGAAGTGCCACGTCGCAGTGCCAATTTGATGGGCGACCCCCCTCCCTCCTGACTGTGCGTAGCACTTACCCCCCAGTAATTGGGTAATTATATTGGGTAATATATTGGGTATATATTGTGTAGCATTATATTGGGTCTTATATTATAAGCTGGGAACGCGGCTAAGAGCGCCCCGGAAATGAATTTCTGCGCCCCGGAAATGAATTTTTAATAGGCTGACTCAGCGTTCTTGTGTAAGAATCGACCCCTGTGACAGGGGGGTTACGTGAGTGGCGGGGCTCTCCGAGTCGGGTGCTCCAGGCATATGCGTTCCCAGGTGGCGCCGGTGGCTGCGCTCGAGGGCGGCCGACGGCAGGCACGCAACTACCGGTGCCGTCGCTGTGGCGCGCCGTGCGCGCTTGCGCTCGACGCGCACGTTTCCTGTCGCGATTCCGCGTTGTCGCGGCGGCAATGGAGACCATCGCTGGAGCCGATCGTCACAACGGCGATGGCCCGCACCCAAACGCGCGGCTCGGAGTTGCCGTTCCCGCGAGAGCTCCAATCGAGCCGCGGAGGTACTCCAGGGCCTTCCAGTGCTCTGCTGTGGCAGGCATCGGCGCAGCGACCGCGGCACCGGATACAATCAGTGCGCCTCTCAAGGCAAAGCATTCGGGGTCCCCGGGCCCTGGAGTAAAGTTGTGGAAAGCGGAGCGCGGGTGTGCGGCTCCCACTCGGGTTGGGTTGCGTGCTTGAGCGCGAGCACGGGGTGGGGTGTGGACCTCCGCCATCGCGATCACAGCGTGCGGTGTGTGTTAATCACGAGTTGTGAGTGTCCAATGCGCTTTGGCCAAAGCCATGGGTCGATTGAGGGCCATCCGGCTGCGGCGTGGGCTTGCGAATCACGCCCATGGCAATGGCACGCGACGGCGATGGTGGTGGGCGATCCCGGTAGAGGTCTCGCCGAAGCCAGCGCCAGCTCTCGAGGTGCGGAGTTGTGCGTTGCGATATTGGGACGCGATTCCCCGTCGTCGCACTGGCGTTGACGGCCATCGCCAGCGCCGATGGCCGCAGCAGCGATGGCTCGGGTCCCAAAACTCAACAGTCGAAGTTGCAGCCTAACGCGAGGGCTCCCTCTGGCACGGGGAGCTGCTCCGTTTCCCAGAACGCTCTCTGCCGTGACAGCCATCGGCACGGCAAGGGCAGCACGCGAGGCAATCACCGCCCACCTCAAGGCGAGGCGTTGAGGCCCCTAGGCCTAGGAGTGAGTTGATGTGTTTATTGCGGAGGTCGGTGGCGTGGGTCCCGCCCAGCCCGATGGGCGTGCTTGAGCGCGAGCACGGAGTGGGGTGAACAACCCCGCCATCGCGACTACAGCGCACAATGTGTGACAATCACCAATTGAGACTGTCGAATGCGATCCAGCATCCGTGCGTCAATCAGCCAATCTGGCTGCAGCGGTTGTTTTGCAATCCAAACGTACGGGTGGAAACAGGATCCGCGGGAGGGCTTCCCCAGGATTTGTTGTCGAAGGAACAACATCAACTGCGCAGCCCAGGCACCGAGTGAGCAGGCTGTTAATAATAACGGATGAAGCAGAAACGAAAAAGTGCAGAACGTCGGGGCCGAAGGCCCGACTTCTGGACTGGTAATAGCATATATTGGGTAATATTACCGCATGCAGCATGGCATGCTTTTTCCCTGGGAATCTCAGCGAGCTGCATGTGGTTGCTTCATCCGCCCTCTCTTCGCACGGCATGGCCCGCTGTCTGGTTGACATCTGCGGGGCACAGCCTGACAGGCAGCAAGTGAGCGCTGGGCCCCCCATTTGGGGTGTCAGTAGCAAGTTGGCCAAGGAGCATTCTGGTTAAGATACCGCAACCTGTCAAAAGGCGCAGAAAAGCGCCGCCACCTCAGCTCGCGATGCGGCTGACTGAAACGATACGGTATGAACTCGGCCTGCGTGACTAGAGCCCCAGCCTCTTGGGCGCGAGCGAGGAGGCAGCGGAGCACGGGGCAGGGAGCCGCCCTGCTCCTGGAGAGGACCAGCGCGAGGACCAATGGTGCCCCGTTCAACCGGAGCCTGAATGGCTGGCCCGTACAACCGATGGGAGATCCCTCATTAGTTGTCTCGAGCACGCTGTTGCGCATGGCGATGAGAGCGCGATGGTCCTGGGCGGGCGCCCTCGACCCCGTCGCTTTGGCGCAGACTTCCCAGCCTACCCGTCCCATTCTTGGCTATCTTCGTTGGCCGTTGTGCCGCTTGGCGCCTACGCTCATTGGCCTGCGAATTCGACAGCCGCCGCGAGGCCAACCTTGAAGCACAAAAGCGACCTTGGCGGCGATCCTGGCGAGCGTTTGCGCTTCGGAAAGTGTGTGCAAGTCCCCTCTGCAAGCTATCGGGCTCTTAAAGCGTTCTATTCGTGCGGTGCGCCCATCGCCCTCGCGCCATGGCCAGATCTGCGTGGCCCAGCCGGCAGGTTGATGGGCGCAATGCGACGCAGCCGTGCATTACTTGCAAGGTTTCCAGCCAGAACCCGCCTGCAATAATGTGTCTAGATCGGCACTCAACGATGCCGCAACCGCAAGAGCACCTGTTGTCCGCTACCCTGGTCCTCCCACAATTTCACAGCGACTTCACGGCCAATCCCCCAGCTGGTGCACCTTTCCCCATCACAGCGTTGCGAGAACGGTGGCGACTGCACTTTTTTTGGCTCCGATGCGGGTGCGATAACTTGGCCAGTATGTCACGTGGCTGAATTGTCATTCAAACCCCGTTGGGTTATGGTGGGCATATTTAGCTAATCTTACCCCACCGGCCATCAGAATTGCAAGCATGCGTGTGTCGCTCGGCTGTGCTAGCGATCACCGACATTTCGTCCCGAATGCCCTTGCCCCATGGCCATGATCGCTAATCACATTCACTGGTAGAAAACGGCATGTCTGCGATGCCAACTGCGATGCTATTTTGACACGAATTGATGCCGTCACAGTGATTGTGATGGCATAAAAGTGGCTGTGATGGCATCAATTTGTGTCAAATGGCGTCGCACTTGGCATCGCAAACATGCTGTTTTCTGCTGGTGATTGTGATTCAGAGGACCCT